TGCTTTGTGAGGGAATTCACTGTGATATTTTCCACATGATGTGGGCATGCTAAAAAGCCCAAACCGCACCCCTATACCCAACCTTTCCCGGAAGGACTAGGAGGCAGTCCGGCTCAGCTTCTATGACCTGAAATCCCAACGGGATTTGGTTGAGCAGGCCAGGGCCTCGGCCGATTCCAATGGGATCCCGTAAGGGGGAGCCCACCGAGTGTGTACGGGGCGGCCTCTTAAAGGGGCCTTGCAACACTTTTTGAGCATTGTCAGAAAACGCTGCCGATCGGTAGTAAAGGCTCCCCACAACACGCGAGCCAAGTATTATATCGTAGCACACGGCCTGGAATTCACAATAATTTATCAAAGTCAGCTAAAGATTGATTTCTCTTTTCGTGAAAAACATGCAATATACCCAAAATTCACACGCAGCAAGCCCATCTATCAGCCATTAGGTGATTTGAATATGGCGAGCTCACTCGTTATAGAGATTGCTGCGGAAGGCCGCTACTTGTCCACGCTCCCACACGATCACACTGAAAAAGCCGCGCAGTCGAAGAAAAAGAAAAAGAAAAAAGTGCTCAAAGTCAACAGGCACGCGTAACGTTTTTCCGTGGCCCTGCCATCCCCCCCCCCCCCCTGCTTAGCTTTCAGCGCTTTCGTCGGGACAAGAGAAGAGAAAATGCAACAATTCTTTGTAACTTCTCGCACTGGACGGATGCTTGAAGTTTTCGCAGTGGTGAATTCGTGAGGCAATAAGCTCTTTCAGTGAATTCATTCCGTGGTTACTTGGTTTCAGGACCCCTTTCAGGCCCCCTCTTTCCCCCCCTCCCTGTACGTAACGTCCATAAATGAACGTTTTTCACCACCATAATCGTCACGATATTTAGTGTGTTTCGTACCAGTAAAAAGTGCTGCGATGGCCTGAAATAGTGCTTTTGACTGCTCCTTCGGAAATTCATTAGCTGAGTATTCAGAATGTATGTCGATTAATTTGACGATGGACTTCCAAGTGCAAAACGTTCAAGATTGAGCAATGTTATGTCTATATTGAATAAATTTGATCACACTTGCGGGCACACCCCTACCCGCATGTGTCTGCTTGAATAACATTATTATGCCAAAGACAAACCTTCTATGACAAGAAGAATACCGTTAAGTGGCTGGAAAAGGCTTCAAAATTGTCTGATTGCGCCATACGATATCCTCAACACATACAAAAAGCTAGTTGGGACAACTCCCTTTTAGCACGTGAACTACGTCAAGAACTGTAACGTGTACAATAACGCTGGATACGTTTCACTTGCCCGTTGTATCTAATAATAAGTAACCACGGCTGTTTTCAAGAGGTGTTTCCAGAGAATAGAGCTGTATCACTTTCGATCCAATTGGCTTACCATGAGCTATTTTTCACCATATTTTTTCTAACAATTCTTGATTGCAGTTTTCTACGCCTAGAAAGGTACTGCACCATTCTCATCACTTCTTTTTCGATTTTATTTCAGCATTTTTCACTGGGCATATCAAACCAGTACTCTTCTCGTAAATTTATCTTTATTTTTGTGTGACTCTCTGTGTTTTATGTACTGAAAGTTTGTGTAGGCATTCCGTGACGAATATGCTACGCCATGTTTTTGTCGCGAATTACCGCTTGTGTTTAGTCACTGTGAGTGTCTGATTCAAAATATGCTGTAGCTTGAAGTTTTTTTTTCCTCTTTTTGATTCTACTTAATCAATGAGCGTCACAAAAATAAATTGTCATGATTACGTTTTGGTTCAGGCTACACTCACTCTGCTGTTATTCTCAATTTATTCTAAGATCTCTCCCTTTGAGGGCTTTTAGGGGTATAAGGAATATGAAGGTGACACGCACCGTTGACATGCCTTATAGGACACGGGCTGTTGGTAAATTATAACCCATGTGACATACTTGCAACTTTGGCAAAACTTGCAGCGCTGGCCATCATTCGCACTCTGCTAATGAGGATAAAGTCAACAATGTCAACTAATGCATATTTAACGCCGACACTTTCCTACGTGAACTGTTCACCAGATCAGGTCAGCAAAAAATATTCATAAACTATGCGTCTATTTTCAGAAACAGCTTTTTGAATTACAAGGCTCACAGTATATTGAGCAACTTCGGATTAATTTTGTTACCTAATGGTCTTTGATATACACGCGAACCTCACTATGACCAACTTCATTCTACGCAAGGTGGAGGCCCTATGAAGCTGTATGCGATGGTTTTTAATACACTACATGATTTTTATTGAGTTCATGCGACGTCCAATTCTCCAGAAAAAAAAAAAGCTCACAACGTGAAGTTAGCGGAAAGTACGTAGCTCGCAGGGCTAACCTGCGTATTGAACAGAAGCTCGTAACAACGTGCGGATTTTGCGATGCACTTAGTGTACATTTCTGCGTAAAGCTATTCCTTTCTTTCTTTCTTTCTTTCTTTCTTTCTTTCTTTCTTTCTTTTTTCTTTCTTCTTTCTTTCTTCTTCTTGTTCTTTCTTTCTTTCTTCTTTCTTTCTTTCTTTCTTCTTCTTTCTTTCTTCTTTTTCTTTCTTTCTTTCTTTTCTTTGTAATCTGTTACAATGTTGTCAAAGCACTTTCTGAGCAGAAGAAAGAAACAATATTTAATCTGAATGGAAGTGGAGGAATGTTCCACACCATATACACCACTACCATTAGTACCATTAGCAAGGCAACATGACTTCAAAGATGTGGCTGTTTTTCCATCTACAGTGAAACCTGAATGATACGATTACGGCTCATACGAATTTCTGGTTGACACGAATTATTCTACAACCCCGGCCAAAGCCCATTAGCTCTCAGCGTAATGGAGTAAGCTAGTTGCGAACCGATCTGCAACCCAGTGACTTTTGATAAGGACGTACGTTACCACGCAGGTACACACAGCTACCCTCTACCCGCACTGTTGCGGAAGGCGCGACGATTGCGCATAGGAACGGGAACCGATGCGCTGACACGGAAACTTCACCAGTTCGTCAAATCAGCGGCCTGTGGTAACGTCCGAGATGTGCGCGCGAATTTTGGAGGCCTTCATGACTCCCAGCTTTTATGGGGGAGGAAAAAACTACTTCAATGACATAACGTAGGGCCACATTTTTCAAACCGTGAGCCACACGATGAGTATACGGAATGACCGTGCACTTTTATTGCGATAGCAATTATATGGACACATTCGGCTGGATTTTGCCGTCGACGTCGGCGTCGATGTCATGCACCGTATATGTATACGTATCTATATATATGAAAACGCAAGAAAGAAAAAAAAAGGGAAAAAGCAATTTGGTGCGCGGAATCAAACGTGGGTCCTCTGCGTCGTGAAAACGAAGAGTTAACCACTGAGCCATCCTAAAGAACGCTCTTCACCGATTGAACGGCAAGCTATTTATATCTACCACTTACCGCTGCTGTGTTTTTGGCACTACCAGAAAGATGGCGCTATGAGTGCACGTCGCCACATCGCTCAGCGGCGCCCGCTCTAATCTCCTACGCGTGCTTTGCCCGGCTTAGAGAAGGGGAGCGACGTTCTCTCGCGCGCCCTCATCTTGTGGTGGTGGCAAGGAGGGGAGAATCGTACGCCTTGGCTGGCTTCGGGCTTTACGCGGAACGATTCTGCTGTAGTTACTGGGCGCACAAAGGTCACTGCAATCATTGCAGTCTGCGTTCGCGAAAAGCGCGCGAAGTAACTAAATGAGACGCTTATTCGCATGCATCCGTACCTGTGAGTACGTTTCGTGCGTAATTTGTGCGCGAGAAATGCGGGGCATGTATCGCTCTGCTTTACATTCTGCGCATGACCTTTCAAATTGTTGCTATCGCGTTCATTGCTTCGCCTTTGCGGCGAAGCTGTGTTTTTTGTTTAGTTTTTTTTCTCGTAGCCCTTTCTGTGTCGCCTCCCATTTGTGAACGACTTGTGTTCAAAAGGTTGCGTATCTTTTCACAGGCTTGCGCAATGGTGTGTTCCGGAAAACCTGCTTGCTTAAGTCTTGCCACCTGTTGACTGAAGCTAATCTGTAGCCCGTCCTTACAAGTTTTTTTCTTCCCCACAAAAGCTGGAATCCATGTGCGCAAAAGTCAAGAAAAGCATTGACACACAAGTCAGAGGAAACGGGAGGGTTCGCAGCGTTTGCGACACCAAACACACTTTTCAGAACAGTGAATGCATAATGGCCATCGCCTACCTGATCCCACTACCGTGTGGAAAATCATACAATGGACAGAGCGGGAGATGTATCGATATCCGTATTAGGAAGCATGAACAATATCTAGCAGACACCAAACCATTTTCACTCACCGCCCATTGTATACAGTGTGGTTGCATTTCCGTTCTTCGCCGACACTAAAATACTGTCACGTCATAAACAGCAGTTAGTCAGAAAAATCATTGTATCGTTCCACATTCAAAGGAAATGGGATAATGCGTCAAAAACCACGCAACACGTTCGCTGCCTGTATGTAGCTCAGTATTCGTACAGCAATGACATTAAGCTTGACTCCATAATGAACATAATCCTGGCGGACAATATTCCAGATAATTTAATAGAGCAGCCTTGATCCAACGTTCTGAATACGAAGAAAAAATCGTGTACTATAGTCTTAGGGTATTTTTGTTAGGAAAGTAAATGTTGTATTTTCCCGTTTCCCGTCGAGCGAAGAAGATTACACGTTGTGTTAAGAACTGCGAAGGGCACCTATCGAAATCAAAATATGTAGTGCGTTTTTCTGTGCAGGAAATAACATATGTCGTCAGCTTTAAAAAAATATCGAATGGAATGGCAGCCTTGTGTCCTCTGTAGGGGCACAGACACAACGAACTTTTCGTTCAAGGTGCCACACTTACGCCGCATGTCTTGCGGCTTATAGCTCGATGAACGGCGCCGGTCTCAAAGACGCGCTTCCCCGCATGAAAAGCGTCTGTAATGTGCGAAAAAAAAAAGATCCCAACACGCTGTTTTTAATTATCTGTTTTTTGTGCTTTATTTACAGCCCGTCCACATGATTGATGATGCTCGGTACAATAAATATGGCAAGTTCTTCGGGTAAGTTAACCTCTGTGTTTCGCATATTCAGGAATGCTGACTGAAAATAGGATGAACATGCATTTTTACGCAGAAGCTTTTTAAGAACCGTTATGATTTCATGTTGGTCTGTATGTGCATAAAAGTATCGTTAATTGCTTTGTGTTGACGCACTATTATTATTATTATTATTATTATTATTATTATTATTATTATTATTATTATTATTATTATTATTATTATTATTATTATTATTATTATTATTATTAAAGCTTTCGAAGTGGTTACTGCAATTTAAGGAATTCAAGAACACAAATGTTGATTGCGAAAGTGAAAAAATTTCTAGTTACCAGTGTGTGTTAAAAAAGAAAGATGACACGTTTCTAAAAATACGCGAACATGGGGAAGCAGTGGGGATGATGCATACAAAAAAAACTTAAAGGTGTGGGATAGCATCTGAATAATGTGAAAAATTTCAAAAAAGTTTGTTAATTACTTGGCAGTGAGTAGGTAAGGATGGTTATTCATGAAAGTGGGCAGGCATATACTTATTACTAAATTTGGGTCCTTTAGGCAGTATGTGCGTCGCTAAGAACCTCGCTAGATTCCCTGACATTTTTGTCATTCTGCTTTTTTTCAGGGCCTTCGAGTCTAACAAGCTCATTCTGTTTGTTGCCGAGCCCGAACTCGTGAAGCAGGTTCTTGTAAAAGATTTCCCGTCCCTTCCAAATAGAAGGGTGAGCAAATTTAGAAACACTCTAATGAGTCGACACTGCTTGAAGTGCTCCAATAACACGCGTTTAAAAGTTCCTATTTTCAAGTTTCCGCCTTTTAAGCAGTGACTGAGGGATATGGGCAAGATACTGAACAAGAGTGTCTATAGGCAACCTACAAGGAATGTAAAACCACCACGGCGATCTAAAGGTCATGGTAGTCAACATGCCCACCTGAAGGGCGCGGGATCGAATCCTGGCCGCGGCAGCGGAAATTTCGATCGGGGCGAAAATGCTTGAAGCCTGTCTACTTAAATTTAGGTGTACGTTAAATAACCACAGATGATTGAAATTTCTGGAGCCATTCACCACGGCGTCTAGCGCGAAATAAAAAAATAAAAAAAGATATAAAATAAAACAAAATAACAATAAATGCCTAGGATTAAAAAGAATTCCAACCTGGGTCATCTACGTGGCAGCTGAGTATATTACAGAGCCGCGCCGTTTTTTTTTTAACCCATGGGAATAACACAATAACATCTGTTTACTTAGTTTGATTGGAAAGGTCACCTTGAAATTAGACTCACGCGTGCACTTCTACAAATATACATAAAGCTTGAAATTCCTTTGCAAGCAGACGCTGTATATGCAGGCGTCATGTCGGTGAAGGAATCGCGTTAAAGTGAGCAATATAGAGTTTCACGAGAGTAATATGTCACACAATCCGAATCACGTACGGTGTGGGTCTTGGAATACTTCCAACCTATTACAAAATGCTCAACCATAATTCTTCACCTTGATTCACAAGAACATCAAGAACATTAATGTAATGAATGTAACGGGTACCATGCTTCTGCGAAAATTGGCAAATACTGGCATAGCAGACGCTTCCCTGCTACACAAAAATTATGATGACCTATCAAGTAGCGGGTACCATGCAAGTGCAGTCGCATATTGTTTTCCAAGGACTCACCTTAACATATGTAACGTTAGCGTCGTAGGAAACTTAAGTAACGACCGGGCTTCACACAATGCGAATAACGTAATTATGAGTTGTTTCTAACCCGTTTCAAAAGGATCATCCGTAATACTTTATCTTCATCAGCCGCCTCATTAAGTAACTAAACGCCTTCCAGATGCGCAGCGGCTACGACACTTCTCCGCAAAATAAATATTAATGGTGCTCTGAGTGCTTTCTGACTACGCAAAACCACGATTTATGGCGTAGTGGATGCCATTCAGGTGTACTTAATTGTTTCACCAAGAGAGTTTACAAAAAGCTAGGCCGCTCCTCTAGCTTTCGCTGTGACTGTGCTGTGCGTTCCGCGAATGCTTGACATTTTTATACCACCGTTGATAATGAATGTTTGTTGAAAAAGTTGTTCAAGTTTATGCATTGATTAAAAATGAGTCACGCTACGGTCAGCGTGTTGTAAAGTTTGATAAGAAGGCATTGCAGGGCCCCTGAAATGTGTCCATGGTGACGTGACAGCATTGTCAGGACGTACATACTTTGTGTCCAAGCAGTTGTTTTCCTCGTTTTTTTTTCATATACTTTCGCGTGTCAGACATTCACGTTCTATGACCCACTGCTGGACAACATGATGAGCGTCACTCCCGTGAAACGGTGGAGGAGGATTCGACCAGCGGCGAGTCCAGCATTTTCTACTGGGAAGTTGAGAAAGGTAATCAGTGTTGCATCTCTCAAGATGTGAAACACACCAGAATCATGATATAGCCTGAATTCACTCTGCGAGAATGCATTCCAATTCTGGCAACATTTAGCACAATATCGATTGAATGCTAAGACGACAGCTTCAAAAAGAGCTAGTGGAACACATCCGGAGGACATCACTGAGACTTATGGGGACAGTTTCAGCCGACAAGATATCTATGTAAGAACTTGTACTAATGTTGCGTTTTGCTCTCCTATTTTGTTTCTACGCCAATTATTGCTAGAAAACTATCATGGAAGACAATACATGTTGACTGTTACTTTGCGTATCAATGAGTAGCTTTTATTTATTTTGTTTTCATTTTGGTGGAAACCATTTCATTTGCAAATTTTGAATGACCAGATGAATGCGTTGATCGAAGACTGCGCCCTGTCGACTGCGGAGCACCTGAAGAAAGCAGCTTCTAAAAATGAAGACATTGATGTGAAGCAGTAAGTTTCTTACCGTTTTGAGCAAACGCAAATGTATTACTATATGCAGTGTCGGCTCGCCCACCGGAATTTCACTTCTTTACCTATATTATATTATGGAACCAAGGCCACTAAACAAGAGGCCATGCTCAAGCACATTGTTGACTGGTTTGTCTTTGCTGCTTAGGTTCTTTGGTCACTATACCCTGGACGTCATTGCTAGGTGTGCCTTCGCGACAAGGCTCGACTCTCACTCTGACCAGACGAACGAATTTGTCACTAGGACGAGACAGGCCTTCTCTGGACAAATCACGCCACGTCTTGTCCTTTTCTGTGAGTGTTTGTTGCTCGTAAACTACGTCACTGGTTCTCGGCATGCATTTTGATGTCCGCACGCCTGATAAGCCAGAGTGTAGCTCCCGAATGCGTCAGAGCGTTGAACATGCGTTGAAAAGCCTATAAAATGCCTTAGCATCATTACATATCTAAACACACATCTTCAATAGGACAGACTGACGGGCCAGTTGGGAGTGCATAATTCAAGACAGTAGCGCAAAAGATCACAAGTACAGTGACAGATCAAGACGGCACACAGCGCTAAGAACTTGAAGTTTATTGAACGTGATCACGCATATATACACAAGACACTGTGCCCATACCTCTCTTTTTTGCAAGCAGACCCATCAGTCAGCATGAATAGAAGGTCTGTTTGCATTTACTGCGGTAACGAGGAAAGCATCGGCCACGTGCTCTGCTGCCGTCCTCGCAACAGCGCTCACAGTTTCACTAGCGGCCATACTGACCCACCTTTATGACAGCCTCCTATTAGAACCGTTAGTTTTGTGAACACCGACTCGACCTGTCATCTCACTAGGAGGATATAGAGGCTCTATTAAATTTTTCACGGACTGGTGGTCTGATACAGAGGAGTACTGACATGAATTTTCATATGGGAGGTGTGTGGAGACCTTAAGAGACAAGAAGAGAGCAGAGTGGGTCAGAAAACAAACTGAAGTTAAGGATATCTTGATTCAAATCAAGAATAAGAAATGGACGTGGGTAGGGCACGCAGCGCGTAAGAAGGATAACCGCTGGTCATTAAGAATAACTGACTGGATTCCCAGAGAATGTAAACGCACGAGGAAGACACAAACTGAAGTGGGCCAATGAAATTGAAAAGTGTTCAGGTATAACACGGCAGCAGAAAGCATAATACTGGCTTAAATTGGTGGATCATGCGAGAGACTTTTCTCCTGCAGTGTGCATATAGTGCTGATGATGATCATGATGAAAAATTGTAAATATTTCGAGGTTGTTGCTTCAAATAAGATGCGGGCGACGAGAACCCTAAAAAACGTTTCATGGTGTTTCGAAAGTCACTGAATATATATTTAATACAGGTGCGCTAAAAGAACAACTTCAGTTGCGGTATCGCCCTGCCACGGTGGTCTAGTGGCTAAGGCACTCGGCTGCTGACCTGCAGGTCGCGAGATCAAATCCCGGCTGTGCGGCTGCATTTCCGATGGAGGCGGAAATGTTGTACGCCCGTGTACTCAGATTTGAGTGCACGTTAAAGAATCCCAGGTGGTCGAAATTTCCGGACCTTTCCACTACAGCGTCTCCCATAATTATATGGTGGTTTTGGGACGTTAAACTCCACAAATCAATCAATCAGTTGAGGTATCGAGAGAGTAGCTATGCAGTGACGTGCAAAGAAAGTCTAACGTCACTGGAAGACCGCGACTCGCGTCATACTAGTTTTGCTGTCTGTCGCACACGGTTCACGTAAACAACGACAATTGAATCACAATCCAAAGGGCCTTTCTGCTATTTAGGCTGCACGCAGGGCAAAAAATTTTCAAACTAAGTGAACTGTACCGACTTGTCATCATAATCACCTATGCAGTGGGGCTGGCATGACGATGCATGACGACGAACTTTAATATCGAAGTAACATATTGTCTACGCGTTGTCTGGCTCCAGCGTGTGGAGACCGTTGATAGTGCACACCATGGAAATGAAAAATCTCCCTTTTCTGGGGTGCCTTAAAGTCATGTCAGTACTCCTTTGAAGAAATTGTGAGGCTCCCGTTCCTCCCTGTTTTTTTTAGTTTGTACGTTGTTGCTTGTTAATGTGAAAGTGCTGCATGTCGGGGTCCATCAAAACTTCACTGACACCATTCTTGTCTCAGACGTGACTTCGATAGAATGCGCGTGAGCAGGTGAAAAAAAAAAAAAACAGAATGAGGAAATCCATTTATCGGCTATAGGGTACGGAGACAAGTGCTTGTCCCTATACCTATAGCCATATGAATGCGCCTTTTTTTTTCGCATAACTTTCTCATTTCAGATATGTTTCATACATTAGGCCAAGAAGGACGCCGGATTGATTGGTGGGGTTTAACGTCCCAATAACACCTTATGATTAAGAACGAGGCCTATATCGGTTGTCCCAACCATAATATATCCACAATATAGCAAGGGAACACGTTAATATCCAAGAAATGGAGGTGAACCGGAATGTATAAATTGGCAAATGTTGTCGTTATTTCTTTTTGTACACTGCAGACCTGCAGCTAAGGAAGTTTCGTATATCTGGTCATCACATGAGTGTTACCAGACCTGTGTTATGCATGAATTCAAGAATCGTTTTGTTGAATGTGTTCTGTATATATAATAATAATAATAATAATAATAATAATAATAATAATAATAATAAAAATAATAATAATAATAATAATAATAATAATAAAGTAGTGAAGAGGAATTCCCACTACTGCAGCGACATCGACACGTGGGCGCGAGGCACGAGCTAGGACTGCCTGGTTGCTGCTGCGACGCTGCCCGTATACTCGGCCTGCTCTTGCTGCTTCGGTACCGACGCCGCTACCGCTGTTTACCTTGCATTTACATTATATTTTGGTGGAGAGTGCTGCGGTCTTCCCCAGTCCTGGAACTGCGTAGCCGAAAGCTGCCGTCCGTCATGCCTGACGACGCTGTCTTCACACCCCCACCGGCTTCGCCACGCAGGAGCTGTCCCGGTGCACAGCTCTTGCGAGAACCCGACATCTTCAGCGGTACCGACGAGAAAGACGTTGAGGATTGGCTGGAATCATATGAACGAGCCAGCGCTACTAACAAATGGGACGATCCCACAAAGCTTGGCACCGTGATGTTTTATCTAACGGATGTTGCCAAGCTGTGGTACAGAAACCATGAGGCGGATATCCCCACCTGGACTACCTTCAAAACCTGCATCGCAGATGTTTTTGGACGCCCTGGTGTGCGCAAACTTCGCGCAGAACAACGCCTACGAGGCCGGTCCCAACAAACTGGTGAGACATTCACCAGCTACATAGAGGACATCCTTGACCTCTGCCGGCGTGTCGACCGGTCGATGGCCGAAACTGACAAGGTGCGACATATCATGAAAGGCATTTCCGATGACGCCTTTCAAATGCTGCTCTCCAAGAACCCTGTCACTGTCTCTGAGGTCATTGAGTTGTGTCAAAGTTTCGACGAGCTGCGACGACAGCGTCTTCTCACTCGACGCCCTGACGTCCCGGATGACACCATCTCCAGCCTGACCACCACATCTGACCTTCAGTCGCTGCTATCGCAGATTAAGGAGTTTGTTTGTGCTGAGGTCGCTCGTCAGCTATCGCTGCTATCAACAGCCGGCCAACCAGCGTCACCTCTGCCAGCAAACATTCGCCAGGTCATCCAGGAGCAAGTTTGCGCGGCTCTGCCATCTGCCCGTGACACTTCACCCTTGCCGAGCCCTGTTGCCTGTGCCGAGGTAAATGCACCTCTAAGCTATGCTGAAGTAGCGGCTCGAGCACCTCTTCAGACTTTTACGTCGCTTCCCTCAGCCGTGCCGCTCCGACCCACTCCTCGGTTCGCTCAGTCAAGGTCCGTCCAGAGTAGTGGACAATGGCGTACACTCGACAATCGCCCAATATGCTTTGCCTGTGGGCTACCTGGCCACATAGCGCGATACTGCCGTCGGCGCGTTCCTGTCTACCGACAGAGCTACGACCAGACCTTCGAACCTGCCCTTTATGTGCCACCGCGCCGTTCGTTCACAGGCTCTCAGCCACCCGACCAGATGTCATCGTACGCCGACCACCGCCCTCCTGTTAACCGCCGCTCGCCATCACCTCGACGCCGCTCGCCATCGCCGATGCGTCGTCGTCCTTCATCGCCGGAGCGGGAAAACTAATTGCCGCAGTTCCAGAGGCAGAAACTGCGACATTCGCGAAAAGACCAAGGCCTCTCTCTTCCCCAACGAATTTCTGGACGTACATGTGGACGGCGTCGCTGCACTCGCTCTTGTCGACACTGGTGCCGCAGTTTCAGTGATAAGTGCTAGACTCTGCCGCTTGCTGAAAAAAGTTATGACGCCACTAGGTAGTATATCACTTCGTACAGCCAGTGCAGATCACGTCACACCGGCCGCTGCTTGTACTGCTCACATCGCGATTGATGGCCTCATTTATGTCGTTGAATTGCTAGTGTTGGATTCCTGCTCCCATGACCTCATTTTGGGCTGGGATTTTCTCTCCGCTAATAAGGCCGTCATCGATTGCTCGCGCGCTGAGGTGGAATTTGAAGTGTTTGACGACGCTCCATTATATGATGCTCATGAAACCGGGGACAAACTATTTGTTGCTGAAGACGTCATCATACCGCCGCACTCTTTTGCCCTTACCATGGTGTCTTGCAACTCTCTCGCCGAGTCTAGTGCCCTTTTCACGCCATCTGCTCTTTTCGTTCGTCGCAAGTGTTCGCCGCTACCTTATGCCCTTCTAGAACTTCATGACGGCGTCAGCAGACTACTCATCTCGAACCTTTTGTCATGTCCTGTAGCACTACTCCAGGGTGAGTGCGTCGGGCGTGTTTACAGTCTCGACCCTTCTGCAATTATCGACATGCCGGCTGGTCCTTCCGCCGAACACGAAGTCGCCGGAGTGACCTGTGCCTCTTCGCCGCAGACTACTAGGCCGGACGTACTGAGCAGCTCCATCGCCGACACGTTAACCGTTTCGCAACGTGCTCAGCTTCTACGACTACTGAACAAGTTCCGTTATTCCTTCGACTGCCAGCATACTCCCCTCGGCCTCACGTCAGCCGTGTGTCACCGCATCAACACGGGTACCAATGCGCCATTGCGTCAAAGACCCTATCGCGTGTCCGCAGCCGAGCGCCAGGTTATCGATGACCAAGTAGCTGACATGCTCAAGCGTGGCGTCATCCAGCCTTCGAACAGCCCCTGGGCATCTCCAGTCGTTCTCGTTAAGAAGAAGGACGGGTCAATTCGCTTCTGTGTTGACTACCGTCGTCTTAACAAAATAACTCAAAAGGACGTTTACCCGTTACCGAGAATCGACGATGCCATTGACTGCCTCCAAGGTGCGGAGTTCTTCTCTTCTATTGACTTACGGAGTGGCTACTGGCAAGTCCCTCTGGCACCTGAAGATCAGCCTAAGACGGCCTTTGTCACACCTGATGGCCTTTACGAATTCTGTGTCATGCCTTTTGGTCTTTGCAACGCACCCGCAACATTCGAGTGGATGATGGACAATCTTTTGCGTGGCCTGAAGTGTAAAACATGCCTGTGCTACTTGGATGACGTGATTATATTTTCCCCGGATTTTCCAACGCATCTCCGCAGACTAGATGAAGTGCTGCAGTGCCTAACTGACGCCGGCCTTCAGCTCAACCTTAGGCAATGCCGCTTCGGCGCAAGTCAGCTCACCATCCTCGGTCATGTTGTATCTAAAGAGGGTATTCTTCCTGACAGAGCCAAGCTTCGGGCAGTTGCAGAGTTCCCTAAACCTACGTCTCTGAAGGATCTGCGCAGCTTTCTTGGCCTCTGCTCCTATTTCCGCCGCTTTATTCGGAATTTTGCTATGATCACCGCCCCCTTGACTGAACTTCTACGCAGTGACTCGAAAAGTTACGCTTGGTCACCCGCCTGTGACGATGCTTTCGAAAAGTTGCGCCGTCTGTTAACCTCGCCACCAATCTTGCGTCATTTCGACCCGACTGCTCCGACGGAGGTACACTCCGATGCCAGCGGTGTTGGACTCGGCGCCGTGCTCGCGCAGCGTAAATCGGGATTCCAGGAGTACGTAGTCGCATAGGCAAGCCGTACCCTCACCAAAGCGGAGAAGAACTATTCTGTGACAGAGAAGGAGTGTCTGGCAATTATATGGGCTCTAGGTAAATTTAGACCGTACCTATATGGTCGCCCTTTCGACGTAGTCACCGATCACCATGCGCTTTGTTGGTTATCCACGTTGAAGGACCCCTCCGGCCGTTTAGCTCGCTGGGCTTTGCGGTTGGAAGAGTTCGACATGCGTGTTGTCTACAGGTCTGGCCGACGTCACAATGATGCCGACGCTTTATCACGCTCGCCTATGTCCGCTGAAAGCTCTGCATATTTATCTGCCGTGGACGAAATGGTTGTGTTCCCAGATAACTGTGACATGGCGTCTGAGCAACGCAAGGATGACTGGACCAGCTCTGTTCTGCGATTCCTTTCAGATCCATCGACTTCTCTATCTTCTCGAACGTTGCGCCGTCAAGCGGCTCACTTTGAGGTCCGCGATGGCCTCCTTTATCGCAGGAATTACGAAGTCTGAGGGCCGAAAGTGGCTACTTGTCATACCTCGCCATCTTCGTGCTGCAATATGTTCAGCTTTCCACGCTGACCCTCAGTGCGCACATGCGGGCATCTTCAAAACATACGCTCGGATTTCCTCCCGGTTTTATTGGCGAGGCATGTACACCTTTTTGCGCAAGTACATTCAGTCATGCCCGCAGTGCCAACGACGGAAAGTTCTGCCTCATCACACCTCTAGTCCGATCCAGCCAATTCCTTGCCCAGCCAGGCCTTTTGACCGCATTGGGATCGATCTGTACGGGCCTCTTCCATTCACGGCTTCCGGAAACCGTTGGATTGTTGTCGCTGTCGACTATCTGACGCGATACGCAGAAACAGCCGCTTTGCCTGCTGCCACAGCACGCGACGTATCTTCTTTTCTCTTGCGGCACTTCATTCTCCGTCACGGCGCACCGCGCGAACTTCTCAGCGACAGAGGACGTGTGTTCCTCTCTGAAGTCGTCAACGCACTCCTTGCCGAATGCCGTATTATTCACCGGACTACCACCCGCCTACCATCCGCAGACGAATGGATTGACGGAAAGATTCAACCGTACCCTAGGGGATATGATATCAAAGTATGTTGCCTCAGACCACTCCGACTGGGACCTCATTCTGCCTTTTGTGACATACGCCTACAATACTGCTCCACAGGCGACTACGGGCTTTTCACCATTTTTCCTGTTATATGGCCGAGACCCTTCCACCACACTAGATACCATTCTGCCCTACCACCCCCGATTCCTCCGAGTCTACGCCCATCTCTGAAGCTGCCCGCCGCGCCGAGGAATGCCGTAAGCTCGCCCAGTCGTTCACAACCATCGACCAATGGAGACAAAAAATCTCGGCGTGACGATAACCACCCGTACCCCAACTTTGTTCCGGACACTCTTGTGTGGCTTTGGGTTCCCGCTGTGCCTACAGGGCTTTCCTCGAAGTTTTTTTTCAAAATACCAGGGACCCTACCGCATTGTCTCGCAGACTTCACCAGTTAACTACATCGTCGAACCCGTTACGCCATCCACAGACCAGCGCTTTCGGGGACGTGAAATTGTTCACGTGCAGCGGCTGAAACCTTATTACGACCCGCTCGTACTCTGTTCACCGTGAGTCGCCAGGATGGCTCCTTTTCCGACGGGGGACGAAGTGTAGTGAAGAGGAATGCCCACTACTGCAGCGACATCGACACGTGGGCGCGAGGCACGAGCTAGGACTGCCTGGTTGCTGCTGCGACGCTGCCCTATACTCGGCCTGCTCTTGCTGCTTCGGTACCGACGCCGCTACCGCTGTTTACCTTGCATTTATATAATAATAATAATAATAATAATAATAATAATAATAATAATAATAATAATAATAATAATAATAATAATAATAATAATAATAATAATAATAATAATAATAGGTTGTCGCGACACTGTAGCAGAAGCCGGCTCTCAGCATGCGTATGTGACAAGAATGCTATGGTTGCAATCCTGTGCACGTGCATATTAGGTGATGTGCATCTGCCTCCATTACTCGAACATAGCTTTTCATTATTACACGTTTTGGCAGCCACATGAAAAGTGTCGAATGACGTTGATTTACAATATAGTGTTGAAAATTCGTAAACAAGGGTTGTGTGCTCGAGCCCACGTTTCGACAAGTGAACTTGTCTTCTTCGAGGCCTTCAAGCTTTAAGGACAAGTTGATTTCATCGCAAGCTTCCATCTTCCCCTCTCTATACTACTTTTTGTTATATCTTTTAGCTCCTTCCCTGCTTTCTGATGAGACATTTACACCTTCATTTTAGTTTTATTTCCGGCCCTGGCTAAGATGATTAGACTACGGCCCTTCAATTCGGAGATCTTTCTCTACTTCAAGCGGATCTGTCAGAACATCATAAAAAGCCGACAGGACAAACAATCCGTAAGTGACATTTGCGTGGCCTTTACAGAATTGCCGTTGCGTGCGTGCCAATTACGCAGTATTTCTCCCACCAGCACCACGAAGACTTTCTCCAACTTATGATGGATGCCCAGGAAGGAAAGCTCGCGTCTGCTTCTGAAAACGCGGCTGAGCGTGACAACAAGCTATTCAATTTGGGCTCAGATGTGAAACTGGACACTTCCTTTTCTTCAAACAAGAGTAAGAACATTATATTTTTGTTTCAACTGCATAATAACGACGTATTTTTTTGTAAACGCTGGCGCGCTTGAAGAAGAGTGGTCATTACTGGATATTGTATAGTTACATGATTGCATTAGAAACACACTACACTACACTACACACACACACACACTATATATATATATATATATATATATATATATATATATATATATATATATATATATATATATATATATATATATATAATATATCTATAAATATATATTATTGGAAACGAAAATGTAACCACAAATGAAAGCCTACTAGGTTCCACAAATTTTCTGAAGCTTGTGATTAGAAGAATTGGCCCCTAGAACATCCGTAACCTTTTTCTTTCGCATCAAATATGGGTGTGCCGAATTCAATCAATACAATTGTGGCTTAATTTCGTCTTCTGGTAGTTAAATATTTATAATAAAATTAAGAATAACACAGTTCTGCAGAACGTCTCCGAAATGTTTGTTGGCTGAACGCTAATTTTATTTCTTGTTTACTGAAGCAAAAAAAAAAGAAGCTAATTCCACGCCTGTGAAATCTGAGTCATGATGCAGGGAAGCTCGTGAGTGAGTGTCATTTTCTGGCGAGCGCATATTGAGTTCCTGCGTAATCTTTCTTAACAATATATTTTCTTCCTTCCTTCCTTCCTTCCTTCCTTCCTTCCTTCCTTCCTTCCTTCGTTCCTTCCTTCGTTCCTTCCTTCCTTCCTTCCTTCCTTCCTTCCTTCCTTCCTTCCTTCCTTCCTTCTCCTTCCTTCCTTCCTTCCTTCCTTCCCTTCCTTCCTTCCTTCCTTCCTTCCTTCTCCTTCCTTCCTTCCTTCCTTCCTTCCTTCCTTCCTTCCTTCCTTCCTTCCTTCCTTCCTTCCTTCCTTCCTTCCTTCCTTCCTTCCTTCCTTCCTTCCTTCCTTCCTTCCTTCCTTCCTTCCTTCCTTCCTTCCTTCCTTCCTTCCTTCCTTCCTTCCTTCCTTCCTTCCTTCCTTCCTTCCTTCCTTCCTTCCTTCCTTCCTTCCTTCCTTCCTTCCTTCCTTCCTTCCTTCCTTCCTTCCTTCCTTCCTTCCTTCCTTCCTTCCTTCCTTTCTTTCTTTCTTTCTTTCTTTCTTTTTTCCTTTCTTCCTTTCTTCCTTTTTTCCTTCCCTACTCTCAAACCACACCACTCATACTCACCTTTGTCCCCTTTGCGATCCGCTTGCTTAGGTCTACCTAAAGGACAATGCCAGGCTTTACCCTCTGGTTTCCAACTTTCCTTCCCTTCACTTCACATTCTTCATCCTCACTCTTACTTTCGTCCCACTCCCCATGGGTATTTTATGCTAGAATCGGGCATGTACACACTGTATGTGGTGCATAAACTGCATACCATAGCCTCCAATATAGTAGGCTATTACAATACTATAGCAAGCTGTGCCATGTTTTACTCTCTCTTATTCTCCCTTCATTCCTCCACATCCTTCATTTCCCTCTGCCACCCCTCGCTAATCTACACTGTTCTTGGATGAGCTATACGTACTCGCTTGGAGTGGCGCACACTTGTCGAGTTGTCTCTCTACAACACCATCGTTGCTATCATCCTAATTGGCCCTAAACAACCGCAGATATTTTCGTAGCATTTAAAATAAACACGCGCACCGCGTGTAGAATACCATCAAGATTAACGATGCCACACGTGGCAGCTCTACAAGGCCCGGGTGTGCCACAAATCGCACGAAGCAGTTCCTTCTGCTTTCGGGGCCCTTACGGCCTTTGCAGTGATGTGTGCAACCTGCCGAAGTTGAATTTGTGATGGGAAGCACAAGTCATATGCCATGTCTTCTCGCAGTGGCGATGGTGGCACGTCATCACGTGCCCACGGAGGCGCTCTGGCAGGGGCGTGTCCACGTAGAATCCATCATGTTGGCGATCCCTTGAAGGGGTACACGAAACAAAGGGTGCATACCAGCACAATTCGTATAAGCGCAGGACAACACGGCAATAGCTATTAGCCAACCAGCACATCGGAGATAGAGTCGCGGCAACCGGAAGTAGATGGTGTTCGAACAGCGTGTCAGCGATGACAAATGCCACGCGAGATTAGGGCTGGGAGGAGGGGGAGAGGGGCACTCGATGAGGGCTGCTATTCTGGACACGGTCTAGTTCCGCCATATTGTCAAATTTCGTAATGGCGGTGTTTTAAGCCAACCAGAGAAGTCATAGCAGCTCATTTGGCCAATTAGCACCGATCAATGGCGGAACTTGACGACATGGCGGAATTCGAAAATGTCGAGTCGAGAATAGCACCCGACGAGGGCAGAATGACTTTGGGAGTAGACAGCGGAGACTACCGAAGGAAAGAGTGAGAGGAGCGATGGCTGCATTTCGATCACAAAACACGTCTGACGTCCACTATATGACATCGTCACCAAAAATTATCGCTGCTACGTGTTGATGATGGGCCCGTTTACATCCCCACTACAACTACATTTCAACCTATGGGTTTAGTTTAGGGACCCTTTAAAGAGGTGACTGTTACAATACGGCATGTTTTCTATCTAAATGAGTCTGCTGCGCCCATTGTAACGTTGTATATTATGTTTCGCGATCAACAAGAGCGACTGCGTACATTTATAGTATTCTTATTACCGAAAGCCATATTCTATCATTAGGTTTTACATTAGGAACAGAGTATAAAGCGGGAGATAACAAAAGACTGTCAAGTTCTAGCTCATAAATCAAGATTAGTTATTAATTTTCAGTTACTTAGACTATAAAGAAAGCACGGTCAAGCCGCACCGCATGTGTTGTTTTCAGTCGCTCTTCTGTCTTTCATAATTTCTCCCGAATGCGCCAACGAGTAAATCCGTAATGAATAGGGCTAGCAACCACACGATTTCTCTGACACTGTCGACGTACATTTTTTTCCCCAGCGTTGACCGAGGATGAATCGATGGCCCAGTGTGTGCTGTTTTTCATTGCTGGCCAGGACACAACCTCGTCGGTGATTTCGTTCACGCTCTACCTGCTCGCTATTCACCCCGAGGTGCAGGAGAAGTTGAGGGAAGAAGTGGACGAGTGCTTCAAGGTTCACGTACGTACATATTGCCCATACTTTGAATGGTCTATAACTGGTTTTGATTGAATCAGGCTACGGACTTATTGATTGGTTTAGAATTTCACATGTTCATTTATAAATAACGCAGGCCCATTATATGGACCACGCAGGATTGGTTTCGTGAACATATTTTGTTAATTAAAACAACAAGCAGCTTTTCCTTGTTAGCTAAAATGTAACGTGAACCTTTGGATTTTGCTTTATGAAGTAGGAACACGGCGCAAGCCGGGTTGTCCCGTGTAGAATATTGCGTTGTTCCTACTTCCTAAAGCAAAAAATGGTGTAATTTATTAATGATATTGCGAACTATAAGTATGATACCTGAAGTACGAAATGAAACCTAGCTGTTAGTTTGTACAGCGTGACCAGCACGCTGAAGCAGCGTTCTTTGGTGGCTGTCTATTTGTCACGGGGTAATGACGTCGACGAAGGGAGCAGACTGTGGTTCGAAGATAATACTGTTTATTCGGCTGAACTTGAGTCCAATCAAGAAAAAGTCAGATCATAGCGATACACACTGACACCGAGAGCGGCGAACTGCGCGTCATCCCTCGATTAAATCCCAAGCAGCGAATCGCGTCAGAATTTATACACGTGGCGTCGAATATTCGAGCGTTATCGTTGGCGGCCATGTAAGTTCCAAAATAATATGTAATATTCGCGTTGGGTGCGTAATCTTAACAAAATTATCTACTACAGTTCCGAAGCTTCTCGAACACTGCAGGCGCGGTTTGCGCTGAACATTACTTAGAATGTATAGGGGTGCACGGTAACAAAACTTGAGGAACGAATGTGGCAATATTATAGCTATGGTATGATGTTCAGCAGTTAGGTCATGGCTTATGTTATCGGTAAGTGGGTGCGGAGTGGAAGTATTTGGTATACACATTTTTAAGCATCTTGATAATACCGTGTAATGCGGATTATGTTGGTTTCATAGGTAGCAACCTTTGTCGAGTCCCACGCGTTTTTGAAATTAAGTTAAGCTAGGTCAACCGATTGATGAACCAAACGGAAGATACCATTCATGTTTAAATAGGCTCCACTCGAATAAAACAGTCGGAGCTGAAGTGGTTCATTCATGTTCTTTTTTACTATTTTTTCATATTCAATTTCAGAACTGTGTTTTCCATAACCTATAAGAAGTGGTTGGTTGAATCTCATTCGTCGCTTTGCGTTTCCCGAGATTTTGGCGTTTTTCACGAAAAACTTCCCTTTCGTAGTAGGACTGCCCATAATGGTGATCTAAAAGTGTTATCATTCTCTCTAATGTCTTACGAAAGTTGAAATTGCAAGAGCGAGCATTTTTGTGTTGGCGTTATGCTCAACATATTGCTTTAGCTTCAGCCGCGTTCCTGATATCAGCATAGTACATGAAAACCAAAGCAAAGTTCTATGTAGACAGCTTAGAAGGGCCCTATGCAGGGATAGCGAACTTCTTTCAAGTTCAGAGACGAGAACCTCGAGTCCATACCCAAGCGGAATACTCTAGATAGGTAAGATATTGGAATGGTCATTTCAGAAGACAAAATTGTTCTACTTGAAAGCTCAAGCAGGCGTCGGCACTATTATCACGTTAGAAAGCGTAGGAGACTAGCCAGCCATGGGATACGAATTACGAAGCACAAAACGCGATTTTCCACACATGCCTGCCCTGTACCATTTCCAGTAAAAAAACGTAACCTGCCCCCCCCCCCCCCTTACCCTTGATTCACTTTTATGCCTACGCCACTGACATGAGATAATACCATATATGTATATACGTAGTGTTTATATAAACGACGTATGCATTTAATAACTTGGTTTAGGGAACCTGTAGACTAGAAAGGAAAAAAAACATGACCACGTCGTTTTCACAAATTAAAGGGACTTACAGAATGGAGGCAATACTGTACGTCCGTTACTGAATGCTCGAATGAGATTTGGACAATAGATCTTTTCGCCCTTGACGCAGGCAGAACATTTCCTGCCTTCAATAGAATATGATTACTTGATTCCAATGGTATACAATTCCTTGTGCTCAATGGTAAGCTGCTTTTTTCCCCCAATGTACTCAGGGAGAACACCCCAGCCTGGATGTTGTCACGAAGCTCAAGTACCTACATTGCGTTGTGTCCGAGTCTCTTCGAATGTACCCTCCAGCGACGCGGTAAGATCCTCATATCGAATCCCTGAAAAATCTAACGTTCCAACAGCGAATTTTATAATGACCACTAGAACGTGAAATCGGTGTTTTAATGCAAAGTTGACTTTAATAACCACATCTTTTGTTTAAGGTGGTTGCACAGCAATAGGCTAGAATCATTTGATTATAAAGGCATGATGCCAACGTTCATGAGTCATATCTGACATTGAAACGTTATTGTGATGTGTTCCAGAATTGAGCGATCACCTCACTGAGGACTACGTTCTCGGAGATACGGGAGTGAAGGTGAAGAAGGACGAGTTGATAGCGATTCCCGTCTACTCGATGCACTACGATCCGCAGTACTTTCCCGATCCTTCGAAGTTTGATCCAGAAAGGTGAGCAGAGGAAACTCTCAGACGCCGTTTTGTGTTCACATGTTTATACAGGGCGTCACACATAAATTGAGCCAAGAATTTGAAAATGAAAGGCACTTCAGTGATGAATTGAACCCGACGCGTACTACTCGCACTAGCCTGTAGGTACTCACGCTATATTTCATTTCTTCCCATACTAATTATTTATTAATTATTAATTACGTTTTAATTATGGGCTGGAAACAAAATGTGAACACTGAGATGTAGAGCACTTTCAGAAACAACCGACTAAATTGTTTCCTGTACGATATGTTTAGCGCTGTTATTTTTTCCGCGTTGTAAAGAAAGCCTATAGCAGCACTACATAGCAGTGCGCTCGCGGTCCGTCACACGGCTTCTCTTCACATTTCACGGGCTTTGTTTACAACGTGGAAAAAATAACAGCGCCATACGTATCATACAGGAAACACAATTTAGTCGGTGGTTTCTGAAAGTGCTCTACATCTCAGCGTTCATATTTTGGTTTTCCAGGCCATAAATAAAAAATACGTAATTAATAAATAATTAGTATGGGTAGAATTAAAAATAGGGTGAGTACCTGCAGGCTAGTGTGAGCGGGTAATGTGCGTTCGGTTCAGTTCACCTCCTAAGTGCCTTTCAATTTCAAATTTCTGGCTCAAGTTATGTGGGACACCCTGTATATGCCATTTGTGCTCCACGGGGCAAACTAAGTTGCAGAGTTCAAGGGAACAACACGGCTAGTGAATTTCTTGCAGGTTCAGTGATGAGAACCTAGAGTCCATACAACCATACACCTACCTGCCATTTGGAGCAGGACCTCGCAACTGCATCGGTATGCGTTTCGCTCTACAAGCTGTGAAGGTGTCCATCTTGTACACCATCCGCAACGTCCAAGTCGTTCGGACTGAAAAAACAAAAGTGAGTTCATCTCCAGAAATTCTTCAAGCCCAGCGAATAGCAAAAAAGAGAAATTTAGGTCACGTTGCCATATTTGTCCATCTTGTCTGAATTCAAGTTTTTGCGTCTACTTAGAGGCCTTAGTTGGCTTTGTGGATGAGCTGAGCACGCATCGTTGAAAAATATCTTTTCAAAGCCAGTCTCAATTGAACCTATAGTGACACTTGCACACCTTGATGAGGCAGTTCATGAGAAGATGGAGGCTTGAGAGTATGGAAAAAGTCAACAGTAAACGTGGCTCAATTTTGAGCCAAAGTTTCGAAAAGTGTATCTTTACCCATTATGATAGCCTGATCAAGACTTCTGAACTCGCATTCATTACGGTAACCTTTCCTGACAAAAGCAAGTTCACTTGTCGAAACACTGGTTCCAGCAGCTATCGATTTTCAACGATGTTTTAATTAAATAAAAATCTTGCAATAAAATACACACTAGACCTGATTCTACAGAAAGGACTCAATCTTGGAAGCTGCAGGTAGCGTCCTCCCAATTAATGTCATAATTAATCTCAAGCACGCAGCCCGCCATTCATACCTCAGTTGCATATCACAGAATGTTACGAATACGCTTTAGGTGCACACAGACACACACGTGGTGAAAAATCAGTATTCCTAAGTATAATTATTTCAAATATCAACTACTCCGCGAGCTTCCCAAGTACCAAAAGCTTATTGCTGACGTAACTTCTTAAACATCTTATTCGCATGAGTTATCATATTGAAAACACTGGAAACATTAGAGTATATAGATTGGTGAAAGCACACTGCACTTAACGACGTTCCACGCTTGCCATTTTTCCATAGACACTGTTTCGTAAACTGTTTACCTTCCATTTCAGGTGCCCCTAGAATTCCGGAGTGGATTCACAGTACTAACAGCCAAGGACCTGACATTGGGAATTCGGCAACGGGGCTAGTGATTCACTAGTTCTTTGTTCTTTTCTTTTTCAACTGATTGATATTTTGAAAGTGGCTGGAAGTTCCTGGTGTGAACGGATCAACGTATCTCTACAAGAAAGCCTTACTTCTCTTACCTTTTGTTCAGTGAAATCGACTGTATTCAGAATTCACAAGTGGCCATGCGCAAACTTTTTCGCACATGTACGCGCCTTTGCGAGAATAATTTTGCGGTCCTTCTCCATTTTTACACTTAATCATTTATGTGAAAATGCCTTCTTTAGAGCCTCCAAGCGAACACAAGTCGCTTAGCTCGATGTATGGTGTTGAATGTACAGGGCCACACTGGAGTGCAGATATGAAGACAAGGAAGTACCTAGAGGCTAGAAGAATTGTGAACATGAGCACTGACTACAGAAAGACTTCATAGCTCATGAACAATAAAAATACAAATGATCAAAATATATACAAACGATAAAAATATATACAAACATATACAAACGATAAATATCCCCAAGTTTGCGCGGAACAAGCAGCACAGTGACATCAAAAGCTGCAGGAGCGGATCTTCCTAGAGCCTGTAAACTCTCTGACTGGACGAGTACCACAAATGCAGTTGCAAGGCACCCACTGCATTGTAAATCATGACTTCGCGAATTAAGGGAGTACTTACTATACCATTATTCGCCATTCTGTGGAGAAACGAAGTAGCCGCAACATCTATGTAAGTATTTTTGTGCACTTTGTTGGTTGTATGGCTGATTACGATGGAGAATTATGGTTGATTCCTTTGTAAAGGGTGCTAAGCTTTAAATCATCCATACGTTACGCAATTAACTAAACGCGACGCGATTGTTTTACTCTTCCACCACATTATATTTATTCTGTTCACGTGATTTGTTACCAGACATGACGCCTGCATCGAATCTTGTGAAGATGATTCAGGTGCTGGCATGCCTCTGTGGTAGAACTGTTCTCCATGACGCAGAAGGCCTGGGTCCCTAGTTCCGCTTGGTCCGGGATACTGTTCCTCATATTTACGCGATAGCAGTCACGGACGTTGGCGGACAACTGCTTCAGTAATATCAGCTGCTGTTTGTGATCTAGTAACAGCCCCCACTGTAATGTATCTTAAATCTTGCCTCATAATTATAAGTCGCATCTATATGCAATATGTTATATCACAGACGTTAACTATTTGAAACTCGATAAGGCTGAGCCGGGCGTAAGGTCACAACGCAACTCAGGCTTTAATTGAAAGTTGTCTTAAACACATAACTTTGACTTGTTACACGGGTAACTGCTTATTAGCTCAAGTGGTCACCCTGGTAATATAACAATATATACATAGAAACATCAACGAACCATAAACGAGAACATGGTGGCATAAACGTACACATGCCATATTAAGGCTTGTACGCACATATACTCCCACAGCAACTTCAAGGCCATATGTAACTCAACTTCGTGGCAGCAGACTGCGCCGGTGAGCAGCCATGTACGATTATTATACCGTTTTACTTGCATATACGCGTGTCATGCGTGACAAAGCATAAAATGGTTATTCGAACGTAATCAAGAAAACTCGCTTGCCTAATTTTTTTTATAGAATAGTCACAGTTATAGCGTGATATACTACAGCAAGTACAGACCATAACGTTTCCCGAACCTCCCCGTAAAGAAACAGAAAAGCAAATTTTACTTTACGCGCTGAGTAGCAATGAGAATGCTTCTTACCTCTGATGTCATTCTTCGATAGTAAAACGCTTGTAACACTTAGTGAAGTTCATATAGAGCTGCGAACGGTACCAGTTGCTTGTTATTTCCTAGCGTCATTGCAAGGGAGTACGACCACGGTTCCGAAATCGCAGCTTTCTTTAGTGTCATGAAGTTTTTTTTTTTTTTTTCATTTTGATACTATAGTTTATAACAAATTTATGGCGAAAAGAAGGTGCGAGAGGTAACACTGCATTCATCAACTAACAAGAAACGCAGAGAAATAAAAGGGAGATCAGATGTACACGATCACCTCTTCATATGGCGGCCACATGATTACGTGCAGCCCACTATATTTGAAACGTGTCCATCCTTCCTTCCTTCCGTCCGTCCGTCCACCCGTCTATCCATCCATCCATCTCTGTCACGATGTGACGTCATCATGAAGTTATTATGACGCCATCGCAACCGACGTCACACGATTGCGTCATCACACGACATCATCGCTTGGTCAAAGGTGGGCCCATCATGAAGGCAGTGAAAAACCACGTTAGGTGCCGCAGATCTCGGAGGCCAGGGAAAATCACCTTAGGCGCAAAAAGCTTTCGGGGAAAGTGGGCCGGATCCTTTCATCGACTGAGAAGAAAAAGAAGACGGCTTTCGCCTTCCAGTCGTCTTTCGTGAGGACATAAGGGACCCTGTGAGTTTTTGTATAACTTAAGGACCCGTATGTTACGTATAATAATATGACAAAATCAGATGTCGTAGTTAAGATTGATATTGTAGTTAACATTAATATCGTAACTAAGATTAATATCGTAGTTAACATTAATATCGTAGTTAACATTAATATTAAAATCACGAGGCACACTGTAGGGAAGAAATGCGGAAATTTGGACCATCTGCTATTCTTTGAAGCTCAGAGACATGGCACAGTAAGCAGGCCTGCAACATTTCACCTCCATCGGAAATGTGGCCACCACTACAGGGATTGAATTCAAAACCGGAGGGTCAGCAGCTGAACCGACTAACCACTCTTCCAGCAGGGAGGACGGACGTCGAAGTTAACTTAAGAAGTTAACTCCATAATTATGGAGCACATTGAGCGCATTGCTACACTCCACCGGGACAATGTTCTCCCCACTTTGTTATCTCAAGAACGCTTATCACAATAAAACGCCTCCAAGTCCGGTACAAAGCGCAAATGCTTTTTCGGTGTTAGAAGACTTCTTAAGGGTTGCGTCACCATCTCGTCCACCAACGGTACATGTAAGGAGTATTAAAAAAAGCAAACAGGACATTCCGCTTGGTGTGGCCGAGTCATTGCGCTGCACGCGCGCACGCTACACATTCAATTGGATCCACTTCGCGAGACGCAATTAACAAGGGCGTCGCTGTGTGTCCGTTCGTTTAATGTCGCTAGAATACCTCGTATTATGGTGTTTACGCTTCCACTGTTGTCTCGCTCAAGGACTCGCCACGAAAACAGTCCGCTCTTCGCACTTGCGCAGCGTCAAACGAAGCGTAAAATTATTATCCGTTGCTTCGAAGTCCTGCTTATTCGTCAGGCCGAAGTCTGCGTTTCATACAAGCTTAAGCTGCAGTATGTAAGACGCGATTACGAGAGGCCATGTTACAAATGGTATGCGGCTGATGAAAACCTGTAAAGAAAAAAGTCATGGTTTCATCTCAGGGGTGAACCAATCAATACGATAGCGGCAAAGCGCAATATTATACAAAATAAGGCTTGCAGTTAACTCTTTTAGCACCCGATGTGGTGTAATTATACGAAAACGCTCGCATATGAAACGTGGCTCCTACAGTTGGTGGAGAGAATGTCACGCTGGCTGCAAACACCAAAAACTGAGCAGTGAACACAGCACGCACATAGGTGTGGGCCGTCTGCCAATCGTTGAGAAGATAGGGCATGCGCGATCGCGACAAGTCGATAAAAAATACGCAGTTACTACCGAAGCCACGCAGCCCACCTTTCGTGATTTCCCCATGGACCTTTCGTGCGATTGAAGACGGCAGGCGTGCTTCCTTTCCGCTTGAGCTGCAATCGTCGGTTGCCCTTGCAGCCCCTCCCGCTCGCTCACAGAACACACCTCATACGTGATGGCCAGTGCGGCGACGCGAGACGCACATTCGGTATTTACGGCAGCACAAGAATATGAATGCATGAAGTCAATCTCAGATCACTTTTCACTTATTCTCTTTAAGTCTTAATTGCCACAGTTACAGAGGGCAGCGAAGAAATCGGGTAGCGAAAGTTTCGTAAAACAACAAAAAATTTTCAAGTGACCTTAAGATACGTGCTTAAAACCGCAAAACAAGGATTTTTTTATTTTAAAAATTACGTTAAGTGTGGCAATGTTTGTTGGTGTACCACCATAGGTACCACGCAGAAACGTCGTCTTCGATAAGTGTACATTGCTTCTTCGTGGGCTGCAAGATGGGCATGATGATGGTTGCGATTTCAACAACAGATGTATTTCTAAGCTGACGCTGATCTTTGTGCCTTCTCGTGTTTCTTTATTGAGCTTTGATTTGTTCATTTTAATACCTATGAAGTATTGCAAGGTAATGGTCGTATGCATGAAAAGTATTCGCATTACTTGGCAACAACTTCCCTTTTAGCGTGGAGGCATGGGGAATATGAGCAATGCATCCTCATCAGTAGAGGTTAATGTATTCTTCCACTATGTGGGATTTAACGTCCCAAAACCACCATATGATTATGAGAGACGCCGTAGTGGAGGGCTCCGGAAATTCAGACCACCTGGGGTTCTTTAACCTGCACTCAAATCTGAGCACACGGGCCTACAACATTTCCGCCTCCATCGGAAATGAAGCCGCCGCAGCCGGAATTCGAGCCCGCGACCTGCGGGTCAGCAGCCGAGTACCTTAGCCACTAGACCACCGCGGCAGGGCGGTTAATGTATTCTTAAGTTTTCACGAATTATAGGTATACTGGTGCTTTTTCAATAATCTCGAGTAGTCGAAACTACGGCGTTTGTCATGGTCTTATTGTTGTTTACGACGCAAAACTCCAACAATTATAGTTATTTTTAACAGTTAAGTTAACCTTACAAAAGTCTTCATGATTAATCTGACGTTTTTTGTTGATGTTTTTTTTCTTGCATGTACGCTTTATTGACGTACAACTGAATCGTATGCGCGGTTTGCGTAAGGGAATAACTTTCAGCGGTTATTGCGCAAAATGACGTTTAGGAGTACTATGCATGTGATTAAACAGCAACTTGCGGTATACATGTGACTAAAACATCATACTACGCGGGCGCACGTTGCACATTCAATAAAGTTGCCTTCGCAAGACGCCGTCACTACGGTCACATCGTTATTGGTGGGAGAGGTCGTTTAATGTCTCGCAGACACGCCGCATTATAGGTTATGTGCTACGCTCGTGCGACTCTCGGGCCAACTCATGAAGGACACGCACTTGGTATACTGGTGCTGCAACGTAAGAATTATAAACAACCGCAGTGTTATCTTTGAGTTCTTTTC